GGCGACTGGGATTGGCTTCCCGTCAGCCCCCGCGCCGCAAAGGAGGGCGGGGGCACGGAAAGGCATCGTGGCAGGGCTGGTGTGGAGGCGGACTACAGCTCCCAGGATGCTCCGCGGGGGGTGCCGGAAGCGTGCCTTACATAACACCCCCGACTTCCTCCCAAGCAGGCGGTGCGTCACTCGCGCTTCCCCCCTCCGGTAGGCTGTGCCCGAGGTCAAGCCGCCTCGCTCCACCGGCTGTGCCTCCTGCGCGCCTCGGGGACGTCGGCACTCGCCGCCCCCGTCAGCCCAGGAGCTGGTGCTCAACGCGGGGGAAGCAAGGCCCGCCTCCCGCCACCCTGTCCGTACCCAATATGGCTGGCGCCTGCTGCAATTGGCCGGATGAAGCCAGCCCGGCGCCGCCATCACTACGGGCAGGCGAGGGCCCTACGGGAGCCGGCAGCAGCCGGCTGCTAATGTAGAACGGTGATATCCGGGGTCTCAACACATTTTAACATCGGCACATACAGCCTGGATTTATCTAAAACTCGAGGTTTTTGAATGGGAAGGCTTTTATCAGTGCTGCTCTTCCTTAAACAGAGACCAAACGTGTGCTCGAAGACGGGTAATGCATGTGCAACTCATGTTACTTGTGCCCAGAGCATGTGCAGGGGCTGCGTGACACCACCACCTGGGTCAGGGGAGCAGAGAGCAAATGAAGGCTCCATAACCACATCCTCCACTCCCTCTTGAGCTGCCCGTGTTGAAAGACATTATCATTCAGAGTCCGAATGCCACCCCTGCACGCAGTGGCAGGGAAGCGGGGGAGCTAGGAGCTGAGGAGAGAGTGCAAAAACCCCATGGTTGATGTTCAAAATACCTCGCAGATTAGGGGCCTCATTGCTGCTTTCTGCTCTCTTGAGGACAGGATGAGGATGCATGAGACCAGTTGCCTTTTGTAGGAGTCTTCCACCCTGATGTATGCGTTACTATAGAAACAGCAAGTAATAATAGTATTAGCAGCAGCAGTGAGGAAACCCAACCCCTGGGGGTCTGGAGACTGCAGCTTCCCCAGGTGCCGCGGAGCCTCCACGCGGATGTGGGGGACCGTTGGAAAAGGAGCTGGGCAGCACAGCCCGGAGACGGCCGGTTCTTAGGGGCTGCAGGCCGTGCTGTTCGGGATGGGACCCACCCGTGTTTTTACGTGTGCCCTGCAGCGTGGGTCCAGAGACCTGTTGAAAGCCAGTGAAGGGGACTGTTGCAGGCTTGTGTCCATCCAAGGCACAGTCCTGCTCCTTGTGCAGCACTATGTCCCTCTGCACAATTGCTGCCTGGCAGGCTGAAGACACTTCATAACCCTGCAGCTCCAGGAGCACCTGCACCTCTTTCCCCTTCGCGGTCATTCCCCGTCCAGGGTGGGATTCCACATCTCCCACTCCCAGGCTGTGCCTTGGCCTAGGGCAGCCTCTGTGTCCATCAGACTCGCTCCCCTCGCCCCCACCCAGCTGCTTTCGATGCCTGAAGTTCGTCCTGCAGAAGCCTGTGACCAGAGAGCTGCCTTAGACCCAAAGCCCTGCTTATTCCCACTTCTCACAGAGCCTGGAGAGGAAAGGCTTTGCACCAACACTGCCCATTCGTGTCCATCAGGCCTGACCTCCACCAAGGGGTTTGCAAGTCCTTCAGAAGGTCTTAGGGCATCCCAGTGTCTGTCCGGTTCCCCAACCATTCCCGTTTCCCCCTGGAAAAAGAGCACAACTTCCTATGCGGCCACAGCCCCGTTCTCTGCTGGGTCGCAGGCCTCTGCCTGCTGCCACTGGTCTGGGGGTTGCACGGGGAGCCAAGCCGACCCTGCCATTCGTCTCTAGCAGCGCTCAGGTGCATGTGAAGGGCTGGTTTATCCTGAGCCTTTCTTCTTCCTTCCTGCTGGTTTTCCTCCCTGCGGGCTGTTCGGCTCAGCCAATACGGGCACCCGGTAACCCGTCTGTGCACGGTTTGTGGCTGATGGCCCTGCCCGCCTGGGACCACCATGGAGGTTGATGGGAGCGTGAGGGCGCTCCCTGTCCTCGCCTGCCAGTCTAGGGAGGTGGGGCCTGGCACAGCCGTCCTGTGCCAACAGCTGCCCAAGCTCCTAATGCACCAGAGCCACGCTGCGGGCGGGGCGGGGGGCTGCTCGGGGGCTGCACACCCAGCCCGAGGCCCCCGGGGCCCGTGCAGGGCGCGCTGATGTATCCGGGGGGGGGCAGCGCCACGTGGGGTGCACGTGACGCCCTAACGGGGCCGCAGCGCCGGGTGGGGTGGGGTGGGGTGGGGGTGTATGCATATACACGC